AAAACGGGTTGTACAGACGGTTTTCGAGTCGGGTACAACGTAGTAAGAGAAATGATTTTGAGTGGTGAACTTTAATTTGTGGTTTAGGTACCTCTGTACTTTGTATCAACATTCTGTGAAAACAAAGCACTCGATATTATAAATTGTGGTTTATCTGTACTTTTATCAACATTCTGTGAGCAAAGCACTCGATACAGCTGTGCTTCAAACTCGATATTTCACAACACTTAATATTCAGGTAAACAGACAGTGCCTAACCACACTCTTGTGACTAATTTTTTTGTTTGTTTGTGTCTGATCAGGTTAATGACTGTCGTCCTGGTTTGGTTTTAGCTGCAACCTCGCCACTGTTGCTATTTTTGTAGTGTTTTTAAACCTATGGATGTGATTGTGGGTATGTCTCTCCGAATTCCACACTTAGCAAGTAAATTGTGAGCATTGCTAGCAGCTATATTCAGGAGCACCTAACCATTGTAACATAGTCAGCTAATTTCAAAAAGATTGGTGAGTGCTAGGTGAGTGTGTTTTGGCTTTGGAATTGTCAGATACATTAAATTAAATAGATGCAATAGATGCATGACATGTTGCAAGTTACCACGAATTTTTGCTTTGCATTCAAGACTCCTCAGAATTGCAACCATTGGTGACGATTCCACTAATATTATTGCTCCCTTTTAACTGCAACAGAAATTCGATTGTAAAGAATTTAAAGAGGAATAGTTTCAGGTCAACGTTTCTATTTGGTAATGTATTGTCTACAAGAATGTTTTTCGGCAGGATATGTTGTGATATGTCTTAATCCAATACTATCATAAATTCAATGCCCATGTATGTAGAAGTTTATTATGTAAGTTGAAGTTTGTGTATATGGGGAATGAGAGTACGCAACTTTCATTTCAAACATTTTCTTTTTTAAAAAATTTCCCGCATCCAAGTGACGAAATATTTATCACATGACATACAATTTATCAGATCTCACGAATAAGTTGTCACGTGACAATACATTTATCTCACCCTTTGTGACGAACCATTCATGAGTAAAATTAAGCAGTGACTTTGTCGTAAAGTGACGACTTAAAGTTTTACAGTGTAATAAAGTCCAGCGGCAGGTCATCGGATTCCACATGTGTCCGTTCAAGTTCCGCATGAGGCCATAAGGAAACTTGAGTAAAGATTACCGTACACACACTTTTGTTTTCGGTGTGACCGTTTGCTTGTCTCTACATGTGCTTGGCAACGTCAGACCCAGTCTCCACAGTGCTCCCGGATGTGTGGATGATGGTAGACAAAAGGCAAGGGGACAGCGAAAGAGCATCAGGTGTGCTCGGAGAGAGAGAGAGAGCAGTGAGCAAGGAGAAAGAGAGGGCACGAGCACCAGGTGTGGCGGGCGCTGCTGCTGCTATGCTTGCTTTCTCGCCACCGGAAATCGCCGTGCACAACGAGCGGCAGCAGCCAGGGCGAGGGCGTAAGTGACGGGCTAACAAGACGCAAACGCGAACGCGACGCAGGGACCGCCACGCCCCGCCGGGCCCCGCCCGACAACAAAGCGACAAAACAAAGGTGAGCCGAGGTGATAATTCTTCAACAGGTTGGAGAATCACGTTCGAGTGAACCTCGCCGCCGCCGAGCGGACACCTCCGCCCCGCCGCCCCGCCCCGCCCCACCTCCTGTTGCGTTTGCTCACACACGCGCATTCGGACGCACGTCCGGCAAATGTTTGCCCATGGGGTTTTTATTTAAAGTCATGTTTATCTGCCGCGGCGGCCGGCGGCGCGTCGTCGTGTGCGCAGCAATGACTGCTGCTACCGCGACTCGACGGTAAATAATAATTCTTTTAAAAAGGTATTTCGTTCTCTTCTCTTTTCTTGCTTTGGGTTCCGGTCGCTTGGAGAGGAGAGGACTGGGGGCTGGGGCAGCTCCTCCTGGCTCTAGTGTGGAGCCACCTCGCGTACCCATAGCTGCTCTACGTGGACTTCGTACACAGTGCTCATCATGGCAGTACGCGGCGCATGGACAGCGAAATTTGCAGGAGCGTTTTATGTTTCAGGCAAGCGGCCAGTACGCGATGGGAGACGCTGGGCTGGACCGAAAGCCGCTACTCTCGAGTCGAGATATCGAGCCGAGCCGCCGCCGTAGAGCTCGCGGGACGGGACTCTGGGTGGGTGCGGCGCGGCGGGACTGAGCTAGGGAATTTGAACCCGGAGGATCTTATGTAGGCCAAGACCTAGTCCCACAGACCCATAGATTTACAGGGGATGAGACAAGACAGCCTCCACAGAGAAGTTAGAAAAAAAACACCGGAGTATACTTTCCAGTGTACGGCTGGGATGGACGTTCGGACGGGTACCTGTCCCGGTGCGAGTACTTCCCCGTAAGGAAGCCGACACGGGCTGCTTCCAAGTCATCGTCTCCCCGCTCCTCTGGTCCATCTCACTTCCAATCCTGCTCCTCCTACAGCAGAACATTGTGGAGCGAGAGAGAAGGGGGACAGACAAAAGGCACACACTCCGAACGCGAGGCCGTGGCCAGCAGGGCCAGCTTGGCCAGGCCGCGGAGCGACAGGCTGGCGACAACTAACTACCTCGAAAAATGTCGACATGGGTTCGTCCCTATGAGAGTTATGCCCCTCAACTTACCTGCGTTTGGGCCCGCCAAGATTCGTCAGAGAAGAGAGGGCAAGGGAGCAGATGGGTGGTGAGAGTGGTCAGGGTGGTCAGGGCGGAGTGGGCGTGGAGGGTGGGGTGGGGTGGGGCGGGGCGGTCCCCTTCGCGCGTGAAGGTCTCTTACCTTTGCACTCGTTGGCGTCCTTGGCGGTGGCCCTGGCCCATGGCCTGTCGAAGTGGAAGGGCTTGCAGCGCTCGCACTCGCGGCCCGCCGTGTTGTGCCTGCACTCGCACGTCAGCTGCCCCGGCTGGCCGCCCTGGCCGCCGGTCGCCGTGCAGCGCGACGCGTGCCCGTTGCACTTGCACCGGCCGCCGACGGACAGGTCGCTGACGGCGTAGCCCGCCGCCACCATGGAAGTGGAGGCCACCGACGACGCGCCGGGCCCCGCTGCACCGCCGTGCGAGGGCGCCTCGGGGGTCGCCTCCAGGATGTTGCTTAGGTCGTCGTCATCGTCCAGGTCGTCGTCGGCGTCCGCCTCGTCCGCGGCGGGGAGGCTCGTGTGCGCCGCCAGGTGCGGCACCCTCGCGTACTTGTGCGGGTGCGCCACGCGCCCGTGGACGGGGTCCTTCTTGGGCAGGTCGTCCAGGAAGGGGTCGTCCTCCAGGAGGTCGTCGTCGTCGTCATCCTCGTCCACGGCATCTTTACTCTGCAAAAACAAAAACCCGAATAACATACCCGCACACATGAGACTCGGCCATATTATCAGATCATGCAGCGCCCTATCGAGACTCGCATGGAGCAGCAGAGCGCCCCTCTTTGTTCTATAAATTATTCGTCGCCCATAAATCCCGGCGTTAATGCTCCGATAAGGCCAGTTATTACGCGCCGCGCACCGACTTCACTCCCCGGTACAGTTCCATCAAGATCACCGCCACCCCGCGCCGCGCCGTGCCGCGCCGGGCCGGGCAGAGCGGGCCGCGCGGGCAGCGCTGCATACCAGCCGGGGCACCCAGATGCGGATCTGCATTGACGCCCCTGGCTGGGCCGCTTTGGCCGCGCTGCTGCTGGTCTGGGCCCCGCCGCCGCCGTGGCATCCTCGCGGTCCGCAACATTTTATTCGTCCTCACGGACACGTCCGCTGCTGCTGGTGCTGCCGGCGAGTAGCACACAAGTAGTAGTGGCGCGCGCACTTGGAGGAGGAGGAGGAAGAGGAAGGGCGTTGATTGACTTTGATTGCGTCGCTGCCTCCGATCGGACGGGCGGACGGACACCCTCGCACTTCACGGTGCCCATCGAAGAGGGGGTTCTCCTCCTCCTCATTCTCTAACGCGGCGTGCTCCGTCCGCCGCCCATTAAAACGCGATTAATCGTAGCGCGGCGCCGTGGCGTGGGGCCCAACGGGGCGGCGGGCCGTCCGGCGCCTCCTGCCGCTGCTCCTCCTCGAGGACCCGCTCAAGGACCTGCTGCTGCAGGGCGCTGCAGGCCGGCCCTAGAGGAGGCTGCGGCCCGCATACCTCTCTGGCCTGCTGCTGCTGCAGGGCCCGGCTCGGCCCATGGCTCAGCCTCTCATGAGTCTCGTGGTTGTCTCGCCTCGCGGCCGCGCGCCGTCCTGCTCCGCCGGGGAGAGGAGAGACACAAAGCCATGAGCCGCGCATGAATCCGCCCCGTCAGCAGGCTGCATGTTTTATAGCTTTGTCCGACGGGGGGAAAAAAGAGGGAAGAGCGACAAGAGTGCGGCGAGCGAGAAAGAGAGAGAGAGAGAGAAGGGGGGGGAGAAATTAATTCGCCATACGGCCTAATATTGCATTGTAGTCGTCACCAATTTTATTCATGACTTTCATCGGACGACGCGCGTTTTCGTAAGCGTGCAGCAGCGGCTGCGCCTCGCCGGAGCGTGAGCGGCGGTGTCCGAGGGCGGCTCTCGGGTGTTAGTGTGTGTGTGTTGGGGCAGGGGGGGGGGCTTGGTACCGATACACGACTTCAGCTGGAGACGACCATTTCTTTTTCAAAAGTATGAATTTCTGGTGTGTTCTTATTAAGGGTACGTCGTGGGGTACTAAAGGTTGCCGAGTAGGTCCTCTAGTCGCCTACCAGGATATAAATGGCTGTGGGTCCGGCTGCTGCGGCTGCAGCGGCTCCGGGGCAGAGTCTCTGTGGCGCGTCTACGACGTGTGCTCTGCCGTGCCCGGACGCGGGGCGGGGCCTGGAGCAGGGCCGCGCCTGTGTGCGAGTGTGTGTGTGTGTGTGACATGCATTATGTATGCAGTGCGCGGCCTGGCCGGGCCGAAGCGCTTGTCTTAGCGCCCCGCTACCGAACAACAAACCGACGACACTCGGAAAAGATACAATATACTATATATTAAAAAACACACACAAGAACCAAACTCGATAAAAGGGAGGGAATAAAAACCTGGGCGGGCGATTTTATTTCTTCACCATCAAACATGAAATATACAACAACACACCGTACGCAGTTTTGCTCACACATTCCCGCCCCCTGCCCACGTGACGTCACGCGTCGGCTCACCTTCCCATTGTCGTGTGTAATCCCCCACCTCGCCTACCGTTACAAATATTTCCTGATTGAGTCCGTCCGTCCGTCTCTCTCCCACCCATGCGGCCTCCTCATCCTCTCGGCGGGCCTCTCCCTCTCACCACACAATGCAGTGCGCGGCAGCGGACGGCCGCCGCGCCAACACCCGTCATAAATTTATCTCAGTGCTCTACATTTAGGCCCCTTCGATACAGGCGGGCTTATCACGGCCTTCTTAATTATAAGCACCCCGGTCCGGCACCGCACCGCGCCGCCGCCGCCGCCACCACGCCCTCTCTCTGGTGAATAGCGCGGTGGGGCGAGGCGCGGCGGGGCGGGGGCGTGGCGGGGCGCGGCCGGATTGCATGGTGTGGCGGCTGTCAGGCGGTACTTGCGCTCGAGTACCCATACTCGTTGGTGGCGTACCCCGCCGGCGGTGCCCTCTCCGCTGCGGGCGGACGGGTATATACTGTATTGTTCAGGTCGCCGGTAAGGGCCGAGCTAGCTGCCGAGCGTGTGTACTGTCGACACAACCGGGTCAAAAATGCAAAGCCGCGGTGCATCGTCCCGGCTTTGCAGACGGACTCATCACGCACGCCAGGAGCAAAACGTATACTTTCATTGCGTGTTAAAGTTACCCAACCACGTGTACTACTTGCACGTGGCCTCGCAGTGTAGGAAAGTAGCTCCTCATTGCTGTGTTGACCCGCGAGGACACTGGAGCGCCCCCCTCCCCCTCTCTCCCCCCAAGTCTGCGAGCCTGCAGGCCGCGCGCGCTTTGATTCGGAACATTTAGCCCGAGCCACACATATTGCGCCGGCCCGGCCCCCCCTCCCACTTGGAGCCGCGCCAGTGTACACAAGTTGACATTTGGCGCTAATGTCAGTTTGCTCTCCATAAGGGGAGCGCCCACCCTCTCGCCCTTCGGGTTCTCTCCCGCCCGGGCAGAAGACGGACGGAGGAAGACAAGGAGCAGGACGAGGACCGACTGAGGACGTACAGTACACGGTGATGTGGACAGCCTTGATCACTAACAAGTCAGTTGGACAAGGGCAGAGAGACAATAGAGACTTATTTCTCTACGAAACATACGTACAAGTGTACAACTTTTGTTACGTTCGTAATTTCCTTTTACAGTAGTTAACACCCCATTCCCAAAACCACCAAAACAGGTGTACAAACGAGTTGAAGCGAGTTGGACGAGTGGTGCCCGAGTTTATCTCAAATTTCCTCCGATTTTTAGCGGCAGTTTTCGCGAGATGCCCGCGAGTTCGGCGAAGGCGAGTGGGTACAACGAGTTGGTTGGTGGGACACCCTCGAATTAATGCAAAATATGCCAGGCAGCTGACCCCGTGCACTTCAAAATTTTGAGCGGCAGCCGACGACAAATGTGAAGGGCGCCTACCCGACAGGACAGCGGTTCAGTCCGACGGGGCGGGGCGCAACCCTCGGGCTCCACAGTCGCGGAGCTCGGTCGCGAGGCTGTGTGGGGCCAACAGGTGATGAGAGGATCAGACGCGAGGCCGCGCTCATCCCCGGCCCCCATGCCGCTCAGCTGCGCGCACAGCAGCGTCGCGACGCGAGCCAGGAGGCGCCAGCCTAGGAGCTGCAGCACTAAGCCTAAAGGCCCCGCGCAATGACGAATGGCTGCAAAGAATCGGGCCGCGCTATGGGCTGCTGCGCTCCATAGGCCTCTATGTGTGCGTGTGGAATTGGGAGCAAGGACTGATATCACTGGCCGGGAGAAGGGGTGGCGGGCGGGGGGCATCAGGGCAGGCGTTAAGGCCATCGGGAGATTTCTATCGCGATATCTTCGATCTCCCGAGCAGGCACTCGGAGCTCCTCCGTGTGGTGCGCGCCCCCCTCCACCCCCTCCCCCTCTCTGTCACGTGAGCGTGTGTGTGTGTGTGTGTGTGTGTGTGTGTGTGTGTGTGTGTGTGTGTGTGTGTGTGT